CACACACACACACACACACACTCACACTCTCACACACACACACACACACACACACACACACCAGGCCACAGTCAGAGTACAGGTCGTGGTTTGCTCTCTCTTTCCTATAACAAAATCCCCACTATCCTCTCCTCCTTCTTGTTCGTGTTTGTTCCTCTCTCGTAACGCCTCCAATCTTTGGTACTTCTATGCGGACAGAATCAGAACCGTTGGTGAAGAGAGACGTCCACAAAACCTTTGGGAACCTCGGACAACATTTGAGTCATTAGAGAGGCCGGCTGTTTCCACACTGTCTGTTTGGCTCAACCTGGACATTCAGTATCTCAGCGTACCTTACCATATCATACCATACCGTATCATATCATTACCATATACCATACCTTACCATATCATACCATACCTTACCATATCATACCATATACCATACCTTATCATATCATTACCATATCATACCATACCTTACCATATCATACCATACCTTACCACATCATACCATACCTTATCATATCATACCATACCTTATCATACCATACCTTACCATATCATACCATATACCATACCTTACCACATCATACCGTACCTTACCATATCAGACCATACCTTACCATATCATACCATACCTTATCATATCATACCATATACCATAAACATACCATATCATACCATACCTTATCATATCATACCATATACCATACCTTACCATATCATACCATACCTTATCATATCATTACCATATACCATATCATTACCATATCATACCATACCTTACCATATCATATTATCGTAACGTACCGTAAATTACCATATCATTACCATATACCATACCTTACCATGTCATTACCATATACCTTACCATAACATTACCATATACCTTACCATATCATTACCATATACCTTACCATATCATTACCATTTACCTTACCATATCATTACCATAATTTTACCTTACCATATCATTACCATAATTTTACCTTACCATATCATTACCATATACCTTACCATATCATTACCATATACCGTACCGTACCACACCATACTACACCGTGCCGTATCTAACATCCGTGTGACAAGAGAAAATGAACTGAACGGTAGAGGGGAAAGAGACTAAAACAGCGCCTAAACATAGACAGCTGGTGACT